ACCTCAGTAATCTGCCCACCTTAGACTCCCAAAGTGCTGGGAGTACAGGCGTGAGCCACCACGCCCGGCTGGGATGTCCAAAAATTCAAGGTGAATTTTAACATCTGCAAACTTCTCCCCCTAGAAATATAACCAACTTTTAACACTTTTCCAAAGATCAACTATTTCAGGTTATATTTGAAAGAAAAAGACTAATTAAATACATCCTGCATCTAAGGCTTAAAGGTAGAAACAAATGATGGTTACTTTTCTGTAGTATTCAACAGATAAACTTTATTGGGCACAACTGTCTGTTTTAAAAGAATGTAGCTTCCCTCTCTGTAGGAATACATTCTGAAAGCAGACCTGCTATTTAAGTCACTACTTATCTAGTCATGAGCTTAGACTGCAACCTCCAGCCCCATGTTTTACAAATGAACTAAGAAGACAATTTAGTGTTCATGAACGCTAAGACAATGCAAAAGCAAACGTAAAACACAGATATGTCTCTTTGGACTGGGCGCAGTGGCTCATGCCCACTGCACTTTGGGAAGCCAAGGCGGGTGGATCAGCTGAGGTCAGGAATTTGAGACCAGCCAGGCCAACATGGTGAAACCGTTTTTATTAAAAATTAAAAAATTAGCCGGGTGTGGTGGCAGGCACCTGTAATCCCAGCTACTCGAGAGGCTGAAGCAGGAGAATAGCTTGAACCCAGGAGGTGGAGGTTGCAGTGAGCTGAGATCATGAAACTGCACTTCAGCATGGGTGACAGAGTGAGACTCCGTCTCAAGAAAAAAACAAACATAGATGTGTCACTTTATTCATAAAAATTAGATGTACAGTCTTCTCAATCACAATGAAGTAGAAAACGTGAAACAGCCTATTAAACTTTTAACACTGCTTATTACAATTTTTATGTATGCTAGAAGATGCTAGTGTTCTAAAAAAGATGTAACAACTAAAATATTCCTAAAACCAAACATTATATGACAAGCAAAATCGACTGCATGGAACTGAAAGTGTAATCTCAAACATCAAAAATAAAGCCAGCCGGGTGTGATGCCTCACACCTGTAATCCCAGCACTTTGGGAGGCTGAGGTGGGAGGAACACTTGAGTCCAGAAGTTTAGGACCAGCCTGAGCAACACAGTGGAGAACCCATCTATGAAAGAAAGAAAGAAAGAAAGAAAAAACAAAGCAAAACATGGTAAGGCCTTAAGTGATGCCCGATGATGACAGGCCAGCTGAACGGCGACATGCCCTGTGCCAGGCATAGGCCTGCACTGTGCTCACTTGTCTTTGACACGCTGCTCTCCCCTACCGGACTGCTCTGAAAATGACCACAGTTTTGTCCTAAGTAGCATCCATCAGATTTAGATTAAATTAAGAATCTAGTGGCTACTTTAATCTAGTGCTTAAAGCTACTTTACCACAGCATTACAGAAAAACTAGAAGTAACATTTTGTTAAAACCAGGTCCCCAGTACATAAAACAGAGAGTAAACACAGTGCAAGATAAAGACTGACTTTAGGAAAAAGAGTTACTGCTGATGTCATTTCTCTAACAATCGTCAGACTTTTCTATGAGAAGGCCAGAGGTTCACACTTGTATACACAACGTGCAGGTGCAGGGAAGACCAAGGAAAGCAGCTATCCAATTTTTTACAAAGCCATACAGAGACAAGTTCAAGGAAAAAGCTTTAAGAGTTATTTCCACAATCTGTATGTGAAGACAATTCACAATGCTGCCACTCAACCCTGGGTTGTTAACAACTGTTAACCTATGTTAACATCAAGGTTGGTTTTGTTTTCTATTTTTTTAAACAGAGTCTTGCACAGACTGTCGCCCAGGCTGGAGTGCAGTGGCACGATCTCAGCTCACTGCAACCTCCGCCTCCAGGGTTCAAGCTATTCTTCTGCCTCAGCCTCCCGAGTAGCTGGGATTACAGGCGTGCACCACCACACCCGCCTAGCTTTTTTGTGTTTTTAGTAGAGACGGGGTTTCACCATACTGGCCAGGCTGGTCTCGAACTCCTGACCTTGTGATCCATCCACCTTGGCCTCCCAAAGTCCTGGGATTACAATAGGCATGAGTCACCACGCCCAGCCCAACATAAAGTTTTTAAAAGACTTTCTGTTCTTTCACATTATAATGTGCTTCAGTAATTCCAATATAGAAACAGACAATTTTAAATGTATATATAATCTTCTTACCCTATTAAGGATTTTAGGTAGTTTGTGTGGCACATAAAGCTCTTAACTTTTCCCCCAGAAAGCATAAATTGAAAATGAGAAAGAGGATGGTAAAAGCAGAGCAGGAGTAAGCCGACTCACTCACTGAACAGTCGATGTAAAAAAAATGCACAGCAAGACCCCATACTTCTGTGTCACCTCAGAGCTGGGCAGGGGCCGACGCACCACTTGGACCAGTGCCCTCACTAAAAAATTAAGTAGCGGCCAGGCGTGGTGGCTCACGCCTGTTAATCTCAGCACTTTGGGAGGCGGAAGCAGGTGGATCACCTGAGGTCAGGAGTTTGAGAATAGCCTCAACATGGAGAAACCCCGTCTCTACTGAAAATACAAAATTGGCTGGGTGTGGTGGTGCATGCCTGTAAACCCAGCTACTCGAGAGGCTGAGGCAGGAGAATTGCTTGAACCTGGGATGCAGAGATCGCGCCATTGCACTCCAGACTGGGCAACAAGAGTGAAACTCTGTCTCAAAAAATAATAATCATCATCATAATAAATAAATAAATAAATAAATAAATAAATAAGCAGAAAGAATGCCAATGTCATGTTTAGGCAAACTTATGTGCCATGACATTTTTCAAAAACCGTCTGCTACTTGGTTTACCAACATCAATCATAAGGGAAGACAGAGACTCTAGGAATGGCTGGAGAAGTAACTTAAAGACTCAATGAATTCTCTCAACTCCACATGCTGCCTAAAAACTTACAAGTACGTAACACAGAACAAACCAATTACTATAAAAATTAAGTATAAGATTGTAGATTATGAGCAAAAGAAATCTAGGCTTTTTAAGTCTCCTGTGTGGTTAAAAAAACAGGTTTATGAAGATATTACTTTCATGATATATTGAAAGTGTCTTTAAAATATAAAGTTATCTGGCTAGGTGCCATGACTCACGCCTATAATCTCAGCACTTTGGGAGGCTGAGGAGGGTGGAATGCTTGAACCCAGCAGTTCGAGAACAGCCTTGGCAACATGGCTGAAACCCTGTCTCTACCAAAAATACAAAGATTAGCCAGTCCCATAACCCAGTCTCAAAATAAATAAGCAAATGAATATATTTAAAAATTAAAGTATCTATATTCTTGTGATGAAAAATTTAAATTTCTTCAGCATACTTTCTCTCCAAAAAGACATCGTTTATTTACTTTTTTTAGTTATGGAAAAAAATTTTTTTTAAGTTCCGGGATACATGCACAGAACGTGCAGGTTACATAGGTATATGTGTGCTATGGTGGAGGCATTTATTTTTTAAGCACAAAAACAACTTTGGGTTATAATTCCTAGTATACAGAGACACAGATGCCTACATTCTAATGACTAATATAAAACCTTTTATTTGGCAATTTGGAAATAAACACTTTTTAGATATTAACTTATGAAATATGGTTACAGAAAATTATTCACAGAAAATATTACACTATAGATGGATTACTCAAATCACTCCAATGAAGTAATTTACTTGTGTTCATAAAGCAGCTCAGAGTCTGGGCACAAAATAGAGATGTGAGTCTTCACTCCTCTGTAATCCTGCGTGAGATACTCAATCTCTGCCCCTTCCTCAAAAGACTGTTAAGAACAAAATAAAATAGCGTGGAAAGTGCTTGGCAAGGTACTTACTAAGCATTTATGAATGCTTTATTAGTATCAAATGCTTTTGTCATCACAGAGTTTAATTGTACCAAGAAACAAAAATTCTCCAACAGAGTGACGACTGCTTTAAATAGGGGAGTTGATTCATTCGTTTACAAATACTAGTCATCAACTTTCAAACTTCAGACTAAACTCTGTTATATTTTTGGAGCGATATTTACAGAGCTGTACCCGCGATAGATACCACAGACAGACAATGAATAATCTACCTTCAGCAAGGAAGGTCAGAAAATCCAGACTTAAGATGGGCACCTGTGCTTCCCAATGGCTCATTTCCTCCCTAAACTACAGACTTCTTCCACTAAAGCCGGAGTAGACCCTGTCTTCAGTCCACCTCAGTAACCTCCACGGTCTTGGGGCATAGACACTGCACTGACACAAACCTAGAAGCCCGGTGTCCCGAAGCCCCAGTTTGCACTCATCCCTCACCAAGTATCAACCATTCTCCCAAAAGCAGGTCAATATTCTGGACTTCAGCACGAGATCCTTTGGCCAAAATGAATTGGGAAACATTTTTTTAAAAAAACACTAATTAAAACATGCCATAAATTCCACTTTTTACCTCATTGATTAAAATAATCAAGAAAGATAAAACATACATAGGTGTTAATATTAGGATGGTGCCAAAGTAACTGCATTTTTTGCCATACAAGCAATGGTAAAACTGCTATTACTTTTGCACGAGCCTGTATTACTTTCATTTTTTTATATCTTAGCATTGAGAAATAGTGGTTTTTCACTGTAGAATCCCATTGTTTATTATTTAAATATGAGTAAAAGCATTATAATATTCAAAACAAGAATAGATATGAAAGTATAAAATACACATTATTTAATTCTATTTAAAAGAATTTTTTTTAAGTTTAAGATCTTGTAAAGTTGAATTTTATCAATGTCAAACTGCAAACTTCAATATTTAATATATGTGTGGTATCGACGATTGCCTCCTCTTCTTTCAGGTATTATTGAATATTATCAATCAAATAAAAACTCTGTTTCTTTCCGTTTCTATGCATATCTGACATTTACATGTGGTGAAAAGGTTACTTGGCCCAAAAACTTCTCAGAATCAAGTTTAACACATCACAATTTGCTCATGAGCACAAACTTTACAGTCAGGAGTTGCACATAAAGGGTTTATTTTAAATGTTTTAAGGATAAGATAGAGTTACATCATAATTATAAAAATTACTTACAGAATTAACAGATTTATATTGTGTATACTTCTAAATGCAGAGAACAGGGAACTGTCTACACATTGTATAAAATAAAATTAAAATTAAAAATGAATTCAAGCTTGAAAGATGAGGTCATTTACCTAATTTTAAAATGTGAACACGAAGACCTCTGACCTGTACACATTCATTCCAACTGCACTAATGATGGAAAACACAAAGAGCGCAGCATTTCCAAGGAACCACAGACATTTCAACCATAATTATTTTGTTATAATAATTGTTCCTGTTTTGTCTTTGGAGAACTTTCATTTTTTTAAGACAATCAGCTTAAGAGTGTTTTCAGGCACTACAATTTGTGACAATCGGAACAGTCTTCTAATGGGTCTACAGTGTTCAGAGATTCAAGCCCAATGCACTTCGTGGTTTGGCACATAAAACGATAAAAGAAACGAAATCTGATTTAGAAGTAACTGTGATTTTTTTTTTAAGAAAACACAGTCCCTTCAAATGCTGCATGACATTTACAACTGGAAAATCACCTTCTGTTGGCACTACATTTGCTTCACCAGTGCATTTTTATCCTAAAACCACTAAAACGGCACAGTAAGCAAATATACAGGAAACTGAAAACAAATAAAAATAAAGAAAACAAAAAAACCTAAATATCTTTAACATGCAATTTTAGTCAGTTACATTGAACATTCTACTTAGAATAGAGCATGCAAAAAAGGATGGTCTGCTTTTAAGATTTTTCTCTGAAGTTTTACGTGGCAGCCTGACATCACACACGCACGCACACACAATACAATAATACTAGAGCAGGTAAATGAGAAAGGCCGATAAATTTTATACATAGATTCATGTCTTGTGTTGTCACAAGTCCCATGATACTTTTGGAAATTAATGTTGAATTCCTGGAAGAAGGAACCAACATTCAGATACCAGAAAAATGCAAGCAATGCATGCAGATCTGACACGTGAGCCTAAAACGAAGCCCAAGATACAAGGGCTTGGGAGCAGAATTAGTCATAGCGTCATTAAGTGTGGTGTAAGCCACCAAAAGAAAGACAGAACGGGGGAAAATGGGGAGAGAAAAAAAAAATCTTCCCTTTCCCTCAGCCCTAAAGGCAATAAATGGAACAATGATTAAACTCATCGTCATCATCACCATCATCATGTTGCATTCATCTAGAAACTGGGAGACCATGTGGTATAAAAAAAGTCATTAAAGTTGCTTGCAGAAAAACCACAATGCAAGTCATTAAGTAATGCTAGTAATGTCTCAATTGACCCAACCCTCAAGATACTTCAAAATGAACTTTATTTTTCCACCCAAAGTGACCGAGCCAAGTTCTGCACAGTCCGTGCATGCTGGACACACTTGCAAACTCCTGCGCTGTAATGTCAGTCTGGCCTCCGGGAGCCAGGCTCAGCTTCGAGATTTACATGCAGGGACTCTTAAAGAGTCAACAGGAAAACACATAGCAGAGCTGCAGAATAACACCTGTTCACACACGAGAAGCACCTATGACTTGGGTATCACACTGCTTTCAGAAGCTTGTCCCTGGCTGCCCACAGTGAAGCACCAGGGACAGAGCAACTGCAGCTGTGGACAGAAAACTGAGGTACTGTGTTTACATGGTGAGTGGTCGTTACCATCCAACAGCACAAGGCACAAAAAATGGGCATCAAGCAAACCATGCATAACGAGGCCTGGAAACCATCAAGAACAGCCACAAAAGAGGTCACTCGGACCTCTGATTCAAACTTTTGGTGTCTGAGTGATAAGCATGCACGTTTAGGCTCTGCCCAAATATCAGGGAGGATTTCCAATCTCCACAAGAGACTGGTTTCACATATGGCCTTTCTCCTGGTTGTCAAACCACCAGGGTTCCTCCAAAACAAAGTGAGAGCAGCTGTTTTGCTGATCAACCAATCACACTAGCAGTTCTATTTCAGTTTAAAACAACCTTGCAGGAATAAACCACATAAAGACTCCGTGGCTAAGGGCTGCTATTACTGACACCCACCAAGCGAACACAAACGGCTGGCTTTCTTCTATGGTAACGCATCACTGACATGCAAACCCCAAGGGGCCACTGAATGGAATGAATCCACATTAACGGCACACCTGGAGCAGGAACATGCACCCCACAAGGTGTCAGGAGACTAAGCTGCTATTTGTCTAGACATTCTTTGTGAGGAAAAGCCAGGGGGTAGGGGAAAGGGGTGGGTTGAAAGTTTCTGACCATAATTATACATTAGCAATAATAGTAATAAAAATTTAAAAGTCCCAGAGAGCTTGTTAGAAGGCAACAATGCCACTCAAAACTTACACTTCCAATATAAAAGCATAGTATTCTTCCAGAAACTTACCAAAAACACGCAAACCAGTGATGTATTGTTGCCTTTTAAATTCATGTACTGAAATCCAGATTACCGATTTGTACACAATGTACCACATGTGCTGTCCGAAATACACCTACATTACACTGTGTGGAACAAGGACCTGGGCTTTGCTAAAAAGAATTTATGATTAAAATGTAACAACAACAACAAAAAAAATTCAAAGCTTAGACTTAAAGGTAGCCTTTTACCCAGATTTTTCACCAGATTGTAAAATTCTAATGAGTCATTAACTGTTCACAAGTAATTCATATTTGGACTTATGGTTTAAGGGCTCCAGATTGAAAAGGTGCTCTGAACTTCTGATTTTTTGAAACAAGCTGAAATGTTCCCATATGCTTCCTGTGCCCAAAGTTTAATTTGAAATAAAGAGCAGTAATATCATAACCATGACTGACTTGGGTAAAGCACTCCTGTTAAACTCAAGAAAATTATGTCACCCCCATACTAATAATCCACAAAGAAAAGACTGCCAGTGGGGTGTGTGGGGACTGTGGGGTGTGTGGGGGGTGTGTGTGTGTGTGTGTGTACACATGTATCTGTGTGTATATATTATATATGTATACACACATATAGATATAGGTAGATACAGATACATATATCTCAAAAAAGGCAATAACGAAAACATCAAACTATGCTTGCATTGTGGCGGCAGAATAAGAGGGTTAAGGTGAGGGGGAAAATGGTTAAGATCTATTACAATTTTAAATGACTATGATACTAGCTTAACTTTTACCAAACTTGCCTGTAACTCCCCTCCAAATAGACAGACTTCTTTTAAAAGAAAGGGGTTCTCCTTACACAAAATGCTTTGTGTTCACATCAATCTGTACTATTCAGAACAAAACCAGTTCTGCTGGCAGAGATTGTGGGTTCGCAGGGACATTTAAGCTTTCATTAAACTGGAAAGCAATCAAGTCTTTATGTCTACAAATAATACATTTCATAGTTCCACAAATTTGGCAGAGTTTGTGATGACATCTAGGATGTTTTCACCAAATCGTAGACATAAATATGGAAATCATCATCAAACTTGATGAAATAGACGGAGGGCTTGGCTTCTACTTGATGAATGACCATGCCAGTCCTTTTGGAGCCATCTTCTTTGGCATATTCCACTTGTTTGCCTACCAGGCTGTCCACAACTTCTCCTGGTTCCCTTTCTGCTGGAGGTGAATCATCTACATTTAAAAAAAAAAAAGAGAGAGAGAAAATTTCTAAATCAATTTTTAGATATAAATCAACTCACATACTTATTTTAAAAAATAAAAAAAAAAAAAAAAAAGAAAAAAAATTTAAATACCCTGAAGTCATGATTATCTAGACCAGGAGTCAGCAAACATTTTCGTAAAAGACAAGGCAGTAAATATTTCAGGCTTACGGGCATATGGTCTCTGTCCCAACTGCTGAACTCTGCCACTGCAGCACGAAAGCAGCCAGGGATGATATGCATATAAACAGATGTGGCTGTGTTCCAATAAAACCTTTTATCATAGTTTGCCGACCCCCATCTAGATATATGAACAATTTTAAAAATCATAACCAAAAATTCATTTGGTCCATATTTAATCTGTAGCTGTAATTAAATGAAAATAAGTTTGAGTGGCTCTGAAATATAATTTGAAAGCAGACAATTCCTACAGGGATTACTGAGAATATGGCGCATATTTAAAACGCCTAAGTACCATTGGTTTACTCTGAATCCTTAAAGCCTCTTCCCCCTCAACTTCACTGCATTTCACATCATCCTTCTAACTCAGTTCCAAAATTTAAGTTTTCCATGCTTTAAAAATTGGTATTGAATGAACTTCAGCCCAGGACAAGTACAGGGGAATCTCTGAGGATGGCCCAGGCATCTGTACTGCCTAAAAGGTCCCCAAGATTAATGTACTGCTTCTGGTCTCTAAGAAAACACACAGCAACAGCAAACCATCACCACCACCAACAAAAAACAAAGTAAAAGAAAAAAAGAAAGGGGGCTTGCTAGGCAGTTACAATTCTATTTTAAGAAACTGCATGGGTTCTGAAAAACTCAAAGCTCTTTTCCTCACAGTAGCAGGTGGCCTTCAGGTAGGGAAACCAGAGGTTCCAGCTACATACGACAGTCCACGTTATCCTGGCACAATTGGTAGCAATGCCATTTTACTCTCACAGGTATCCTGGTGTGGACCATATAACGTACATGTATTAACAGTAGTCTGCCTCTTTGGTTACAATAAATTCTCTCACTGAATGACAATCCAAAAACTGCTACTGTGATCTCTGGTACTAAGAGTCACAAGCAATAAAAATAAAACATCTGAGCATAATCAGTTCTTTCAAAAGAATAAAGAAATATAAGCTGAACTCTTTAAAAATTATCTTCCCTTAAGCAGTATCATCATACTGTCATATTTTTATGGCACTTTCATGTTTACAAAGGAATTACAAATACACGATCGCATATAAATTTTATAGTAACTGAGCTAATCAAGGGAGTCATGTAGAGGCCTGTTTTAGCATCAGAGCTGGTACTCGAACAGGACCCTTTCAGAACTCATTAGATCAGAGCACCACCACTGTTTCTAAAGGTAAATACACTTCCACAGCGTGTACATGCACGCACACACACACAAATGTAAGTTTGGAGAATTAACGGAGAGGGAAGATCAAAAAATGGTTAGGAAAAGTGATGGAGAATTGCAGACAACCTTGCATTTCCTATGATTGGGTTAACAGTACTTACTCTATCCATAAAAAATGTTCAAGTTACCTCATAAAGGATGGAGAAATGCTTTTTAAAGAAATGTTCTCATGGCAAATTCCCGAGTATATAATTTGAATTACCCCTTTATAACAAATGTACACAATTTTTTTTTTCTTTTTGAGACAGAGTCTTGCTCTTGTTGCCCAGGCTGGAGTGAAGCAGTATGATCTTGACTCACTGCAACCTCTGCCTCCCAGGTTCAAGCGATTCTTCTGCCTCAACCTCCCGAGTAGCTGGGACTACAAGCGCCCGCCACCACACTCGGCTAATTTTTTTATTTTTAGTAGAGACCAGGTTTCACCATATTGACCAGGCTGGCCTCGAACTCCTGACCTCAAGTGATCTGCCCGCCTCGGCCTCCCAAAGTGCTGGGATTACAGGCATGAGCCACAATGCCCAGACCCAAAATTTTAAAAATATATATCAAAGAAGTAGAAATTCAAGGCCAGATGAGCACATTAGTACATTAACTAACTTCTTCATAGGAAGAATTTTTAAAAAAAAAAAGAAATAGAAATGACTGACACGTGGCTAATGTATGGAGAGGGCCTATCAGTTACATCTGTCCAAGGTCAGAGATTCATGTGTTTGAAGAAAGGCCACTGAGTAGTTTTTAAAGGAACAAACTTAACCAAAAGCGAAATTAAGAAAACAATTCAATTCATATGTATAATAGCATCAAAAAGGATAAAATCCTTCGAAGTAAATTTAATAAAAGAAATGCGGGGCCGGGCGCAGTGGCTCACACCTGTAATCCCAGCATTTTGCGAGGCCAAGGCAGGAGGATCACGAGGTCAGGAGATTGAGACCATGCTGGCCAATATGGTGAAACCCCATCTCTATTAAAACTACAAAAATTAGATGGGTATGGTGGCGCATGCCTGTAATCCCAGCTACTTGGGAGGCTAAGGCAGGAGAACTGCTTCAACCTGGGAGTCAGAGGTTGCAGTAAGCCAAGATTGTGCCACTGCTCACCAGCCTGGCGACAGAACAAGACTCCATCTCAAAATAAATAAATAAATAAAAAGTGGCCAGGCACGGTGGCTCAACCTGTAATCCCAGCACTTTGGGAGGCCGAGGTGGGTGGATCACCTGAGTGGCTAATCAAAATGTAGTATATATCCATACAACACAACTGTATTTGGCCATTAAAAGGAATGAAGTACTGATATATGCTACAGTGTGAATGAAATCTCAAAACATGCTAAGAGAAAGAAGCTAGTACAAAGGACCTCACACCATATAGTCCATTCACAGGAAAGTCCACAACAGGGAAATTGACACATCAAGCATTACTGGTTGCTTAAGGCTAGGGGGTTGGAGGAATAAAGGACTGACAGCTAATAGATACAAGGCTTTCTTTTGAGGTGATGAAAATGTTCTAAAATCGACTGTGGTGAGGACTGTACATATCTGTGCATATATTAAAAAGTACAGAATTGCACATTTTAAATGGACTAACTATATGGACTAACACAGCCGTAATGGCTCACACCTGTAATCCTAACACTTTGGGAGACCAAGGCTGGCAGACTGCCTGAGCTCAGGAGTTTCAGACCACCCTGGCCAACATGGTGAAACCCATCTCTACTAAAATACAAAACAAAACAAACAAACAAACAAAAATTAGCCAGGGGTGGTGGTGGATGCCTGTAGTCCCAGCCACTTAGGAGGCTGGGGCAGGAGACTTGCTTGAGCCCGGATGGCAGAGGCTGCAGTGAGACAAGACCACACCATTGCACTCCAGCCTGAGCAACAGGGCAAGACTCTTGTCTCCAAATAAATAAATAAATAAATAAATAAATAAATAACACAATAAAGCTTTTCTAGGCCTAACGAAATTAGCCCAGGTCACATCCTCTTCTACCTTACCTGTGCGAACAGACTAGTTGTGGAAATAGCTAATCATCTGTCTAAACACTGACTCTGTACTCCAATTGCTACTGAAAAGTTCTCCCAATTAACTGTTTTCTGAAATCGATGTTCTCTAAATCAGGAGTCCCGGACACCTGGGCCACGCTGCAGAGCAGATGGTGAGCAGTGGCAAAGAGAGCACTGCCACCTGAGCTCTGCCTCCTGGCAGATCAGCAGGGGCATCAGATTCTCCTAGGAGCATAAACCTTACTGTGAACTACGCATGTCAAGAATCTAGGTTGCGTGTTCCTTATGGGAAATCTAACGCCTCCAAAACCACCATCTCCACACCCAACACTCCCAACCCATGGAAAACTGTCTTCCACGAAACTGGTTCCTGGTGACAAAAAGGCTGAAGATTGCTGTTCTGAAGTTCAAGTATTTACAGATGAAATAATCAACGCCTTGGGGTTAGCTTTAAAATAATTGCATTGGGGGGATTAATAGATAGAACTAGACAAGCAATGAGACAATAACCGTTAAAGCTGAGCAGGGGTACACAGGGACGTATTTTACTGGTCCCTATTCCATCATGCTTTTAAATAAAAGCAATAAGTAATATGTAGTAGTGTTAATTATAAAAAAAACTTGTATCTTATTACAGAAGTCAAGCAGAACTGATTATCAAATATTTTCTTATCTAAAATTCATGACAACCGGATGAAAAATTTCAAAGGCTGTGTTTGTGCATGACTAAAATAATCATCATATATCCAGAAATAAAAATGTATCTGCAAAAGAGCCAATCAAATATCTTGCACTAAAGTCCAAATCCCTTCTAATTACCAAAAATAAAAGTTGCCAATATATACTTACTGGAATCAGGCATAATGCGAAGGTCGCCTTCTTTGTAATCATCTAAGAGTTGGTACATGTACAAGACAGGGTCTTTCTCATAGGTAATGTAAAACCATGTGTTCATGACAGGTGCACGTGCTAAGACCATTCCCCTCCACTCATCTTTAGAACCATCCTCTGTCTCAAACATATGTTCCACTGCTTTGCCAATCATTGTGTCTGCCAAGTGTGCATCGCTGATTCGAGATGTTGCTGGGGATTTAAAAAAAAAAAAAAAAAAAGTTGACAAAGCGTTTCACTGATTACCGACTATGAAGACTGAATCTACAAAAGAAGGCTACCTGAAATTTTGTCCATGCAATGTATTAGCAAGCATCAGAATCTGGGAAAGCTTTAAAAAGTACAAAAACCAAAGACAAACTACTGGGCCCCAGCTCAGAGATGGATTCAACAGAAATAGAAGTATTTTGTCCCAAGTTGGTTAACTGAAAAAAATATGATTTTTAAAAAAATTTTTCTGGACTTATCCGCTCTTGGTTCTGTACCCAAATCAAAAGTTTTAACTGTTCATTCAAGGTATAAAATTATTTTTGTTACTGTTTACTTAACAGTTAAATTTTGAGATAATTTCAGACTTACAGAAGAATTGCAAAAACAGTAGAGTTCCTGTATATGGTTCACTTTGCTTCTCCTGTATTAGCATCTTACATAACCACAGAACGTTTATTTAAAACTTAGAAATTAACCTATTCAAAGCACAGAGATTTTTTTGTTTTTTTTTTTAAAAAAGAAATTGGTGTTTGTTTTCCTTCAGTCTTATTTCCATTTTTTATTAAGGCATAGGTTTTTACTCTCTTGCTCCTACAATCTTATTCTTCGCTGCAACCAAAGTAATCACTGTGTCATTGATACCACATTGTGTGCTTTAAAATGTTCCCATGCCTTTCCTTCATAATTTGAAAAACAACCAAACTGCTCACCATGGCCCCCAAGCCCTAAGCCATCACGCCTCTGCCCTCAAGTTTTCCCATCTTCCTCCTCACTGCTCATGCCTTCTCTACTCGGCTCTTCTTCCTCTCCCATTAGGACACACTCTCCTCTGCCTGATAAGCTCTTCCCCACATCTTCAGAAGGCCGGTTCCTGTTGGGGTTCTCCTCACCAACAAGGTACCCCACAAATTCCAGTCACATTACCCAATTTTACCTCTTAGTAACATTCACCATGATCTAAAGTTATCCCATTTTATGCATTTGTGTACTTGTTAGTTGCCTGTATATCCCAATGAAAGCAGAGACCTTCCCTTTCTTGTTTCATAACTAGATCATAGCAGGTCAGTATTTTGTATGATTTAATCAGATGCCCCATGTGGTTAGGAGCTCAGGTCTCTGAAATGATAGATTAACAGTCCTAGCCCTTGATACTTTTCTAATGAGGTGAAAATTATCACCTTCATCTTTTTAACACTGGAAAAACTATGACGGATCCTATTGGTTTTAAGATTTCTCCAGTCCACAATTTTAGGTAACTGTCTTTATACAAAATTAAAACAATTTTCTTAAAAAAAAAAAAAACAAAAAAAACAATTAGCGACAGGTACGGTGGCTCATGCCTGTAATCCTAGCACTTTGGGAGTCCAAGGCGGGCGAATCACTCGAGCCCAGAAGTTTGAGGCAAGCCTGGCCAACATGACAAAACCCGGTCTCTACCAAAAATACAAAAAGTAAGCCAGGTGTGGTGGTGCAGGCCCGTAGTCCCAGCTACTCAGGAGGCCCAGGTGGTGAATCACCTAAACCTGGAAGTCGAGGCTGCAGTGAGACAAGGTGGCGCCATTGCACTCCAGCCTGGGCTACGAAGTGAGGCCCTGTCTTAACAACAACAAAAAAAACCAGTTAGCACTCCTATTTTCCTCATTCAACAGAGTTCTATTTCTGTTAAATCAAAAGAAACAAAAAAGTTAGATTTTCTTGATAAATGTATCGCTATTCAATTTTATCAGCATACCCTAAACTAATACATGCTTGGTTTTCTTTAAGTATGCAGTAATAATAAAAAATCACATAGAATTCCCCCCGTGTACGATACTAAAAAACCCCCGCTAGTTTCTTAGGGCCAGTAGATCTCAGGCTACTAGATCTCAGAACTCCATTGCATTCTTAAAAATTACTGGCTGGGCACAGTGGCTCACACCTATAATCCCAGCACTTTGAGTCCCAGGTAGGAGGACTGCTTGAGGCCAGGAGTCTGAGACCAGCCTGGGCAACATAATGAGATTTCATCTCTACAAAAAGTTAAAAATTAGCAGGCTACTGTGGTGCGCGCCTGTAGTTCCAGCAACTCGGGAGACTGAGGCAGGAGGACTGCTTGAGCCCAAGGTGTTGAGACAGCAGTGAGCCCTGATCACACCACTGTACTTCAGCCTGGGTGACAAAGTGAGATCTTGTCTCTAAAAAAATAATTAAAACATAAATAGAAATTACTACACTCCTAAAAAAGCATCTGTTTACATAGATAATGCCTACCAATATTTACTACTTCGGAAAATAAAAAATATAGAAACATTTAAAAATACCTATATATCAATGTATTTTAAATTAAAAATAACTATTTCCTATCAAAATATAGTAAGAAAAGTGGCTTAATTTTTACATTTTTGCAAATCTCCTGATGTCTAGGTTTTAAAAAGAACAAGCAGATTCTCATATCTGCTTTAGCACTCAATCTGTTATGATCTGCTCTTTCGGTTCATATATAAAATCCAGCCTCTCAAAGATATGATACTGAAAAGAGTATTCTAATTGTCTTTCAGATAATTCTAGATATTCTTATATGAAACTACAAAAGTCAACAGTTAGCTCCTTAAAGGTTACAATGCAGAATCTGAAACCATTAATAAATCTGTCATCCTGTTACATTAAAACTCATGTCTCCAGAACATATAAAGAACCCCCACAACTCAACAAAAATCAAATAACCTAATTAAAAAATGGTCAAAGGACGTGACTAGGTATTTCCCCAAAGATGATTTACAAGTGGCCAACAAGCACATAAAAAGATGTTAAACATCACTAATCATCAGAGAAACAGAAATCAAAACAAAATGAGGTATCATATCACACCCATCAGGATGACCACTATGACAAAAACAGTAAATAGCAACTGCTGACTAAGGGATGGAGAACTGAAACCCTTGTGTACTGTAGGCAGGACTGGAAAATAGTACAACTGCTATGGAAAACAGTATGGTAGTTCTACCTAAGAAATTAGAATTACGACATTAAAATTAAAATTATAATTACCATATGATCCAGCAATCCCACTCCTGTGCCTATATCCAAAAAAACTGAAAGCAGGATCTCAAAGAAATATCTGCATATCCATGTTTACAGCAGCACTAGTCACAATTTTACATGGTACAATTTTACATTCTACCAAGAGGCAGAAACAATCCAAATGTTCATTAATGGGTGAACAGATAAACTGTGGTATATAGATACAATGCAATGTTCTTTTCAGCCTTAAAAAGAAAGGAAATCCTGTCACACATTACAACATGAACGAACTTTGAGGACATTATGCTAAGTGAATTAAGTTATTCACAAAACAAATATTGTGTGATTCTACTTCTCTGAGATATCTAGAGTAGTCAAATTCACAGAGACAGAGTGTAGAACAGTGGTTGCCAGGGGCTGGGAATGGGAGAAACGGCATGCTGTTTTGTTTAATAGGTAGAGAGCTTCAGATTTGTAAGATGAAGAAGTTCTGGAGATCTGTTTCAACAATGTGAATGTACTTAACACACTACTGAACTGTACACTTAAAAATGGTTAGGACAGGGCCGGGCGCGGTGGCTCAAGCCTGTAATCCCAGCACTTCGGGAGGCTGAGATGGGCGGATCACGAGGTCAGGAGATCGAGACCATCCTGGCTAACATGTTGAAACCCCGTCTCTACTAAAAAAAAATACAAAAAACTAGCCGGGCGACGTGGTGGGCGCCTGTAGTCCCAGCTACTCGGGAGGCTGAGGCAGGAAAACGACGAAAACCCAGGAGGCGGAGCTTGCAGTGAGCTGAGATCTGGCCACTGCATTCCAGCCTGGGCGACAGAGCCAGACTCCGTCTCAAAAAAAAAAAAAAAGGAAAAATGGTTAGGACAGTACATTTTATGCTATGTGGGTTTTTTTACAATTAAAAAAAGTAGTTAGTCTTGCACTTAGAATAGCTCTTTCACCAGTGCATGGTCTGGTACCATGCACTGTTCATAAAGAAAATACTGTGTTCACTAAGTTATGCAAATATTCCAAATAGATAGTGGGAAACTCTACTGTGTAACTGAGAAACAAAAGAGAGTGAAAAGCACGAATTACAGCTTAACAATATGAAATATTTCTGACCTTGCAAATCTCCTGAATGGGCTTCAGAGAACCCAAGGGTCCCCAGACCTTGCTTTGGGAACCACTGCTCTGTGACATCACATGCATTCTGGCTGACTGACTTTTTTCTCCAACTTTAGCTTAAGAAAAACATAATTTTAATTATACTCTAATGTACTGCCTGAAGCAATTGCTTCCTATGTAAAACGAAAGTGAAGAGCAAGTAACTTTTTAGACTAAAGTAGGTTGATGCCAAAGTAACTGCTGTTTTGGCCATTACTTTCAATGTCAAAAACCGCAATTACTTTTGCACCAATCTAATACGATAAATACTAAAATCAATAGCAACTATTAGCTGAATGAGGCACATACATCGTTGATTTACATAAAAGCTCTTGGATTTCTTTTTATATTGCTTTACTGTTTACAAAATCACTATTGTTGGAAACTGAGATAATCCCAAACTATGAACAACATGTAACCCTTAGTCCCATCACCAGATACTTGTATAGTTTCTATCCTTCGATGACAAAAGGACCAACAACCACAGGTCACGCAGCAATACGCAGGAACCTTCAAGTGAGCTACTTGTCGTCTCAGAAGGGGCAAAGACTAAAATTCTGCTGTTAAGATTCTTAATATGTTAAAGTTTCTTATGTGGGAAATGGATTAATGCCATGATCAAGGAAGAAACGTAGGATGTGCATCAAGAGGAAGAGCAGGTGTTCAGTCATACTTAAGAAGAGATGAGAATGTTGAAAATAACAAAGATTTAATATCACTTATAGGAGTAGTAAGAAATATTTACACTTAACGAAAGATTTCTTTGAAAACTGAACCATATTTATACAGATGAGTAAAGATTTAGCAGTTGATATCTAAAGAGAAGATTAACAAAATAACTTGCTACTAAGGCAGAATTAAATTCCTAAGGAAACTCATTATATCTCAGGGACACAATGGCACAGCCTGAAGAAAAACAAAGCGAGGAGACTGAACTAATTTCTTCCCGTGACAATTTGATCCCAAAATTCCTACCTAGATATGCTGAAGCTTTATTATTTAATGGTATTGACTTTTAAAGACAATTCTAAAACTACAAACCAATATTTTAAACAAGAGCAGCATCACTGTAATAAGAAAATATTTCAAAATAAATGCTTCAAAAAAAGTAGTATTAGTTTGGGTGTATCCCACCCTACTAATAAAATCAGTAATTTATTATTTACCTTAGACCTTATGCCTTAAGGAACACTTGCAAGGCAAAACTGACATTGTATGACATTTAAAAAGAGCCATTCATTTCCACAAACATTCTTCAGTCAAGCGCTGTGTATAATAAAGATCACGTTTTGGTTGCCTAAATTTTGGCTCAAAGTCCAATTATCATTTACATTGTACACAATCAAAGATACACTTTCACAGAAAGATTCTAAAATAAATGCAGAGCATTCTCTTATCTTTTGTATCTGATGAGATTAACACACAAGATATTTGAGCTACTGATAACCTTACCCATCAGAGTCCAGAAAACAGTGAGCAAAAATGTTAAAAATAACCATATTATAAATTATTAAGTGGCAAACTTCTTGGGGGGAAAATACACATCTCTATATCTCTCACACAGTTCCTTGAACTGCTTTGGATCAATTTTTATTGGTTTTCGGTGATTTAATATAATGTTTATCAAGAGGGGTGCTTGTGTTCCAATAAAAGTGAAGTATTAATAATGTAAAATAATTTAAAAAGCATCCATTTCAATATCATTTTTAAAGCATATAATGCACAAATTATAAAAAGAACTTACCAACTCTATCAGGGAGGACTTCAAGCGCAGAAACTCTTTCATCTTTATTAAGTTCTAGTCCATAAACACAGTCAAATCCATCGTATTTTATAAGATACAAAGAAGGATTTACAGGCACCTGGTCCAGAACGGTTCCTTTCCACTGGGTAACAGGGCCATTCCCCTCTTTCCACCCATGCTGAATCCTGCAGCCTACGATGTTCCGCCGGGGCTGGGAAACAGGTTTGCTCGGACCCACACTGCTCCGATGTTTTCTGTATTCACACATATACACACATAAGGTATTATCTCAAAAGTATGCATGCCTAGAGCTAACATAACCACTGGCTAGCATGATCTCATTACAGATGGTACCAGTATATGTACAAACTCATGTTTGCCACATTCCTGCTTCAGGTGACTCAAGGTGGTTATCTTCCACTCCTGTACCAGTGGTGGTGACTGTGTAACATGGTACGTTAGTCATACGAGCTTGTTGTGCACTTCCACTGTGTATAGGCAGAAAAAACTACTAGTCAATAGCAACTTAAGCCCTACTATTAAGCATCAGATTATCAGCTTTCTGAGTTTATTTTAATCCAATCAACTCAAAATTATCCAAGTTAATTAAAGAAGGAGGACTGATCCATGAAACACATGTTATCAATAATCACACAGGTATATAGCTTTATATAATATCCACTTCAAATTAAAAAGAAATGTATAACTATTCAATCTCACCCATTCCCGTGCCCAAATAATTCTGCCTGTACAGGCTTAACTAAAAATAAACTAGACAATCTTCTCTTAAACTGAAATCCAGATTAGCTTATATCAATGCACTACAGAAACATTACTTGTCTAGGAAACACATAATCTTAAAACTGAAGTTTATAACAAACAATGTAATATTACAAATTATTGAAACATCAAACTACTTTTTTTTCTGGTTTATTATTAGCAACTGAAAAATCTACATAGAAAGCTTATAAATAATACACCTGGCTCTTGATATCAGGAAAAAATCTTCATTTCACCTTGAAACCTTGGCTTCTTGGATGCAAGCTGAAGGCCAAAACCAAGACAACAGATGCTGATATATGCCAAGAATGAAAAGAGCTGAAAGGAATCCCCTTCCCACAGTTTTATGGGTATAAAGCTCTCATTTCGTACACCATGAATAAAAGCGACTAACATCTGATATATAACACAAACAAGTTTTAAAGAAACCATTTATTGTAGGTTGTAATAGTTAAAACTAAAATTACATATTTTCTAAATAATTTACTTTGGACTGGTAACATAAATTTAGCTAAGTCAGAGGGGAACAGGCTATGAGAGACAATAAGGAGTACTCGTCGCAGAAGGGAAGCTTCTCCCCTGGGGTGAAAAACTAAGCAAGGGGATCTGAACCTAACCAAGGAGACTGGGAAGGAGATTCACAAGGCTAAGTGCAAGACTGTAAGGCCAGAACACTCAGGTCTGCCTAAGCCCCTCGGGACTGTGCACAAACCCAGGAAACCTTCCTTCCCGAAAGACAAAGCCCCTCTGAGCACACGATCCTCACTGACCAGGACAGCACCACAGGGTAAGGAAAGCAGGATTCAGGCAGAAATGAGGGCGGCAGGCCTCAGAAAGTATGACAGAGGTGGCTACATAGAGAGGTCTTAAGCTAGGAAAGCTTTCCTGGAATCCTCTCGTTTACAAGGGTCTGGAAGCATCACAGTTGGACAACATACGAAAGTATTTTGAGGAGGAAAGAGACTAACAATGTGACAGATGTTCTGACAGGCGGGAGCGGGCCTCAAAAACAGGCTTGTGAAGTAGATGAAAACTACTATCAAACACTGAAATGACAGAAGCCACAAAAGAGAAACTGTGATGATTAATTTTATGTGTCAACTTAACTGTGCCACAGAGTGCCCAGATTAAACACTGCTCACGGGTGTGTCTGTGCATTTATATCAGCAGACTGAACAAAGAAGATGCCCTCACCAATGTGGGTGGCCATAATCCATTCCGTCAAGGTGAAGCTTCAATAGAACAAAAGGTAGAGGAGGGAGGAATTTACCCCTTTTTCTTCCTGCTGGCCTGCCTGAGCTGGGACATCAGTCTTCTCCTGCCCTTGGACTGGAACTGATACCACTGGGTCCCCTGGTTCTAGGCCTGCAGACTGAATTCCCCTTCCAGCTTTCCTGAGGCTTGGCTTACAGATAGCACTTCATGGGACTTCTCAGCTTTCAAAATAGCATAAGCCAATTTCTTCATAATAAATCTCCTTCATATCTTATCTACTTCCCAACGATCCTATTTCCCTGAAGAATTCTAACATAAAAACATATATCAGAAACAGAAAAGATGAGAAATGAGATCTCTAGACAAGATGTGAGAACTACCAGACAAAGTAAAGAATAATTTGAATTTTTTTTTCCAGAAATGAAGACTAGAAGAACATGAGAAGAAACAGACACCATGGGAGCATGTGAGGAAAGTGGATGATGAAAAGGGGACAGACGGGGACAAAAGCAAAAAGAATTAAGAGATGGTAACAAATATTCCAACTTCTGTATAACAGAAGAACCTAAAAACTAAAATCAAAGTTCACAGAAGAGAGTACTAAAAACCGTAATTCAAGAAAACTTTCCTGAAACAAAACACTTGAACATACAAATGCACCCCATGGGAAAACCCAAAATGACTGGCGCTAAGGCATATCCAAGTCAAATAAACGAATTTCAAAGAAAGTAACACCCTTTGGGCATTTACACAAAAGGACCAAATCATGTGTAAGGGACAGACTCAGAATTTGACAGCAACACTCTATGCCAGAAGGCAACAGAGTAACAAACTTAAGGTTCTCAAGGAAAAGAAAATGTGAGCCAAGGATTTGTTCATCAGCCAAGAATGCACACGGACCTTCGGACCTTCGAGTATGAAGGCCTCCAACAAAACTGTAATGAACATGTCAGAAGGCAGGGGTACTGTTTTTATAAAGTTACATGACAATGAGCTTCAGATAATCAAGGAACTCACAGAGAGAGTTCAGCACTGAGAGGAAGCAATGAATACATTTAACTGTAGAACAAATGGTGACAAGGAGAGACAATAGTGTGTAACCGTTATCTGTTCTGATATTTCAAATTTAACACAACTCTCCAAAACAGGAGGAAAGAATATGTAAAGTAGAGTAAGTATAGTGAGTGCCTTATAAAACTTAGATCAAAAAAAGAATTTAAATTAGGATTGTAGAGAGAAAGGAGATGACAAAGAGCTAAATTCAGTATTGTTCACAGTAAGGAACCTATATATATATATATATATTTTTATATATATATAAACATAAAAATAAATAAAAAGTCTAACATTACTACTCAGAGATAGAAGAAAGTTGATTTCTAGACAACTGCATAATCTCTAGGAATATACAATAACATCCAATTGGCCTCTTCAGGAAAACAGCTGGTGAAGGAGATTACATTTTCACTTTAGAATACAAGAATCCTTTGTAGTAATACTTTTTTTCTTAAACTGACAACCAGTTACATATCTTCTTTTGATTTCTAAGCAGAGGATCCAATGAGTTACTCCCTGTACAGGATCGGGCTTTCTTCATATTTAGCGCAAAGGCTAAGGTTAGTTCCCAAACCTCACTAAGGATAGAATTCAGTCATGTGTCCCATTTTGTAATTTACACAGACATTCCATGATTACTACCAAAATTATAAGCCAATACAGCATCTTCACCCATATGGTAGTTAACTTTGTGTGTCAAATTTGGTTACACCACAGTACTCAGATATGTGGTCAAACACTACTCTAGATGTCTCTGTGAAAGCATTTTTTAGCTGGAATGAACATTTGGATCGCAGACTATGAGCACCAGCAGACTGCCCTCATAATGTAGGTGGACCTCATCCAAGAAAAAAACTGGCCTCCCCAGAGAAGGGAGGAATTCTGCCTCCAGACTGGCTGTTCGTGCTGCAGCTTCAACTCTTCCCTGGGTCTCTAGATGGCTGGCTACCCTGCAGATTTTGAACTTGTTCAGTCTCCCCAATTGCATTAACCAATTCCTTAACATAAATCTTCCCCACTTCCCTCCCCATGTGTTTCTCTCTCTCTCTCTCTCTCTCTCTCGGCATGAAATTTTCTACCCTTGATTTTCAAGAAAACCAACATAAACGTGACCTATGACAGCAGAATTTTTCGTTGTCGCTGCTCCCTCCTACACTTGTTAGTAGCATTCCTCTGCAAATGGGAATTATCTGCAGTCGCTCCTGATAATGGCTGGAATCACATGTCAGAATAAGCAGTTTTTGTACTAAACACTTCCAAGGAGCAAACAAGGTCTCCTCCCTCTTGAGCATTACACAAAGGGCTTGCATCTTGCCAGGAGTCCTCCTCAAACCAGACCGGGATCCTTTAATTCTGAGGATGCATATTCCTCCCTTTTGAACTGATTTTATTTCCTCATCTTCTTATTAAGAGTTAGCTTTTGCTGTAGTAAATGATACCATGAGTCTCATACTTAACATTTTGTTCTGTGTTGTCTACCTGTCTTCTGTTTTCCTCACTTTCCTCTCTTCCTATATCTGTGCCGCTAGAATGACTGAAGTTTCTTTTCACTAAAGCCTCTAATGCAAATGATGTATCTTATTTCTAGTCTTCCAGCAATCATCTTTAATGTTCCACATATTATACCTAAACTTTCATTTTTCTATTACAATCTGTGATTAATCAAAACCTATACTTTTCATCCCCCAACCAAAGCAACACTAAAACCAAACAAGAAAAAATCCTTAGTAAAAGAAGAAAAACTTAAAACCTTACCTGGCTAATTCTACTGCATTGCTGAAATGTAGACTTTTGTTCCAAACTGGTATTTTTCATTTTGCTACTATCTTAATAACTTTTTAATTTAGAAACAAGAAAGGGTTTTTGGTGGCTTTTGGCGTAGTATTTTCACATTTTTTTTCTCATGTATACTCTGTCTTTCTAGATACATCCTCTGGTAATTCTTTCAGGTAAAGTTCAGAAATACAAACTTGCTAGATTTTTGCAAGCCTCAAATTATTATTTTGCCCTCATCCCTGAATTGCCTATGTATACAAATCAGGTTCAAAATCTTTTTCCCCTCAGTACTTTGAGAGACAAAAAAACTTTCACTGTCTTTTCTAATCTAGAATTACAGACGATAGAAACCAATCTGATCCTTGTGTTCCTTTGAGGGGCAATTTTCTCTTCAAGGTATTTTATTTTATTATTATTTTTGGAGGGA